CGGCTTTTTTCTTTTTGCTTATGTGGTGCTGAGGAATCGAACCCAGGGCCTCAGGCATGCAAGGCAAGCGCTCTACCACTGAGCCACCTTCCCAGCCCAGGTCTCTTATTTTTTAACTAGATTTTTGTCTTTTATTTACATTCTTTTTTACAGCCGAGTGCTACGGCTCATAGTTATCATCTCTTTACTTGAGAGACTGAGATGGGACTCAGTATTGTAGCTAGCTCGGGCTGCACAGCAAGTCCTCATCTCCTGATGGTTTCCTTTCTTACCTTTGTCCATTTTCTTTTTCTTTTTGTTTACAGTCCTTTTTTAGTGTAGTTTCAATCTAATCGGATTTTTTAATTGTCTCTGGATTGACTTGCTGTTAAAAAGGCTTTTCCTATGCCATATTTACACCCATTATTACACAGACTGCATTTACCTGAGTGGTTTGTGATGTCTCTTTTGTCAGGCAGTGAATGTTTCCTGAACTTGCTTTTCTATTTTTTGGTTATTTGTTTTTCCACCAGAACCTTAGTGTTAACTTGTTTCATGCAGTGAAGTAGTGTGTTGATATTTGTTTTGAGATTGCATTGAGTTGATCAATTAACCATGTTGGCTTTTCCTGTGAAAGAAAGCAGGGTGTTTTTCAATTTGTTTACATTGACTTTCATATTTTTCTTTTATGACATTTGCATGTTTCTTTGTACATTTTCTTTACTCCTTCCTTTCTGTTCCTTAGCATTACTCTTACACATATATATAAAACTATGTACTATTTTTTTTGTAACCTGTATGTCGTTCTCCACTCCATCCACACCTTCTCTAGCCCTTCTCCCATTCATGGAGCTTGAACTCTGGGCCTGGATACTATCCCTGAGCTCAAAGCTCAAAGCTACTGCTGTACCACTTGAGCCACAGTTTCACTTCTGACTTTTTGGTAGTTAAAAGAGCCTCCTGAGCTTTCCTTCCCTGGGCAGGCTACATCTCCTTATAATAGGAGGAGGCAGGCCCTGGAGCATGCTGGGGGCGTTGCTACGGGGAGGAGTGAGCTTTGGACCCTCCAATGCCATCTTCTTGTTCTCACAGCCTTTGCCTTCCAACTGACTTTAAACTTACCCCCTGTGACCATTAAGGGAACTGGAGCTCTCATCGTCCTCTGCCTCTTGAAAACCCTAGAGGTTGAGGGTGGTGGTGAAGCAGACCCTATCCCAATGTGTAATGTCTTCACTATACAAAGCCAGGTGCCAGTGACTTATGCCTGTAATCCTAGCAACTCAAGAGGCTGAGATCTGAGAATCATGGTTCGAAGCCAGACCAGACAGAAAAGTCTATCTCCAACAAAACTACCCAGAAGAAGCCAGAAGTGGCACTGTGGCTCAAGTGGGAGATCCCTTGCCTTGGACCAAAGAAGTTCAGGAACAGCACCCATGTCCTGAGATCAAGCCCCAAGTCTGGCACACAGACACACAAAAAGCCACTGTGTAGGCTTCATGTGGCTTTGTTCAGTTCTTTTGTTGACAGTTGAACCCAGAACTCTTTACTTTTCATTGTATAGTAATATTTGTATAGAAAAGTCATTTCCATTTTTTTTTTGGGGGGGGTGGGAGGGTCCGGTCGTGGGCCTGAACTCTGGGCCTGGGCGCTGTCCCTCAGCTCTTCAGCTCAAGGCTAGCACTCTACCACTTGAGCCACAGCGCCACTTACGGCTTTTTTCTTTCTTTCTTTCTTTTCTTTTTCTTTTTTTTTTTGTCAGTTGTGGGGCTTGAACTCTGGGCCTGGGCGCTGTCCCTGAACTCTTCAGCTCAAGACGAGCGCTCTACCACTTGAGCTACAGCGCCACTTCCGGTTTTCTGGTGGTTTATTGGAGATAGGAGTCTCATGGTCACTCCTGCCCGGGCTGGCTTTGAACCTCGATCCTCAGATCTCAGCCTCCTGAGTAGCTAGGATTACAGGCGTGAGCCACCAGCGCCCGGCTGCTTTTTTCTTTTTGCTTATGTGGTGCTGAGGAATCGGACTCAGGGCCTCATGCATGCGAGGCAAGTGCTCTACCACTGAGCCACCTTCCCAGCCCCTCTTTTATTTATTTTTATTTTATTTTTTTTGGTGTTCATCCTGGGACTTGAACTCTGGGCATGAACTTTTGTTTTGTTTTTGGTCGTGGGGCTTGAACTTTGGGCCTGGGTGCTGTCCCTGAGCTCTTCAGCTCAAGGTTAATAACGCTTTACTAGTTGAACCACAGAGCCACTTCTGGTTTTCTGGTGGTTTATTGAAGGTAAGAGTCTCATGGACTTTTCTGCCCAGCTGGATTTGAACCGCGATCCTCAGATCTCAGCCTCCTGAGTAGCTAGGATTACATGTGTGAGCCACTGACAGCCGGTTTGGCATGAGCTTTTGTACTCAAGGCTGCCGCAGCATCATTCCTGGCTTTTTGGTAGTTATTGGAGATGAGTCTTATGAACTTTGCTGCCCAGGTTGGCTAAGATCCTCAGATCTCAACCTCCTGAGTAGTTAGGATTATAGATGTGAGCCACCAATGCCTGGCTCCAGTTTATCTTTAGTTAACTAAATTTAGTTCTATTGAATAAAAGCATCTGGGTTATAAAGTTGCACATTGAAGCAGTGTGAAACAAAAATCTGACTTGTCAATCAAGCTTGGTTGTCAGTCAAGCTTAGACTTTGCAGCATATTCTACATGGGCCAGAGATTTCATTATATGCTGTCTCTTCTACTCTCCTGTCAGTATTTTAGATTCTGGAGTCCATTGAGGGGACTACTAACCTACTTTTTGTCTTTTTCTCCCCCACAGAGGGAAGTGTAACATCTCCCATTTTTCTGACATATTTGCTGCTAGAGAGTTTAAAGCTCGAGTGGATTCATTTTTCTACATATTAGGCTACAATCCTGAGACAAGGTAAGTGAATTACTCTGTATATGTGTATGTGACCATGTGCACACGCACATCTATGTGCCTTTTCAGGGAGAACTTTCTTCTGTGTGTATGTGTATAAATGTGCATATGTGGATGCTTGCATGTTTACACTTCAGAGAAAAAATAAAATATGCCCCCTCCGCACTCAAATCCTATAATAAACCTCTTTGGGAAGAGTGGTAGTAAATGTCTTTTGCATCTGAACCAGCTTATTTGTGCTTTACTTTGTTAAGGAAACACAAACTTTGGATGTAGAGAAGATGGGTTCACATGCCATTTTAGTTGATTTGTGTTTTGAATGTAATAATTAATAGATTATTCTCCAATGAATACATTGTCAAGCTTTCCATGATACTGTGTTGACAAACTGGGTGATTTTGGAAAGTTTGTTTTAATTGCTTGTTTAATTTCTTTACTTTTGTAGTAAAATCTTAGGAACGGTCATTGCAATACCTTTTTTTTTTTTTCCTTTTCTTTTCTTGGTTTATCCTGGGGTTTGAGCTCAGGGTATAGGCACTGGCCCTGAGCTTTTATGCTCAAGGCTAGTGATCTCCACTTCTGGCTTTTTTTGGTGGGGGGGTAACTAATTGGAGATAAGAATCTCACAGACTTTTCTGCTTGGGCTAGCTTCACACTGTGATCCTCAGATCTCAGCCTCCAGAGTAGCTAGAATTGAGGCATGAGCCACCAGGGCCTTACCAGTCAAATATCTTTAATATTAGAGATAGACAAGACATAGCCCATTTTCATACAGCTCAGTAAAATTCAATGAAAACTGATGGTCTTGAAATAATGTAACCAAGAATTGATTTATGTCCCGAGTATACCTTATTTTAACCTAGCACATGGAAAAATTTCTGTATGAAAAGTATATATATTCATAGCTGCCCTGGATCAGTCGTGACTACATGTGCTGTTAATATTTTGTTTTGTGCCAGTACCAAGGCTTGAACTTAGTGCCTCAAACTCCCACTCGGTTTTCTTGCTCGTTGCTGGTCTCTTATCACTTTAGCCATGCCTCCAGCTCACCTTTTTGCTCATTAATTGGAGATGGAGTTTCTGCCTGGGCTGGCTTTGAATGATAATCTTCTATGTCTTAGTTTCCTCAGTAGCTAAAAATACAAGTGTGAGCCATTGGCACCTAGCTCTATTAAAGATTTTTAAAATAGAAGTGTTAGCATGTGATCAGTTCATAAATGCTCTGGACATATGTAAGAGATATCTACACATGTGAAGGTTTATAAAGAAAGGAATGATAGTAGTGTGCCAATGGCTCATGCCTATGAAACTAGCTACTCAGGAGACTGAGATCTGAGGATCATGATTCAAAGCTAACCTGGGAAGTAAAATGTATGAGATTCTTATCTCCAGTTAACCACCAGAAAAGACAGAAGTGACGTTGTGGCTCAAGCAGTAGAAAACTAGCCTTGAGTAAAAAAGTTCAGGGACAGTGCCAGGCCCTGAGTTCAAGCCCCCTGTATAGATAGATAGATAGATAGGAAGGAAAGAAGAAGGAAGGTAGGAAGGAAGAAAGGAGAAAGGAAAGAGAAAAGAGAGAGCGGGTTGAAGAAATTATATTCATGAATTACATTTGGTTGAATCATTAGTGCAGTTACAAAATTAGTATTGTTTTAATGAAGGTTTGTTTGTTTTTGTCCTGAAGGATACTGAGAAAATCTGTACAATATAAAATGTTTAGGACCGTTAACCCTGAGTTGATCAAAAGGAATGTGTCAGGTGGTAGTTGTATGATGCTGTCTTCACCACTATTGGGACATAGACAAATGTGTAATGTGTCTGTATTTCTTCCTCTCTTCTCCATATTGGTTGCTAGTCGGGATGGGAGTGGAGGGGAGGGGAGTAGGCAGTGTACATCTGTTTTTGCTGGCTTCTAGGTACATTTGTTTTTGTTTTTGCTTTTGCTTTTGTTTTTGTTTTGTTGGTCATGGGGCTTGAACTCTGGGCCTGGATGCTGTCCCTGTATTCTTCAGCTCAAGGCAAGTGCTCTACCAATTGAGCTACAGCACTATTTGCGGTTTTTTCTAATGGTTTATTGGAGGTGAGAGTTTCATGGGTTATTTTAGCTCTGAGTAGTCTGAGCCTTTCATTTTCAAACTAGGCTATGTTCTAATGGCAAATGATGTGTCTGATAATAGTATTTCAAAATCACCTTGTATTTTGAAATTGTGTGTGCGTGTGTGTGTGTGTATGTGTATACACACAGGAACTTGAGTTTCTGTGGGGATAGATGGGATGTTATTTTAGTGATACCTTTTTTATTTAATCATGTGCTAAGTAACTATCATTGAACAAGTTCAACACTTAGATTGATATTTGTGAGTTGACATTAGTGAATTAAATAAAATGGAGTTTGTCTTTTAAGCGTTCAGCTCTTAGGTTCCTAACAGCCAAATCTATTTTTTAATAGTTTAAATTATATCTCTTTTGCCAAATCCTGACTAATGTCTATAAATTACAAACCCACATAAGCTACTGTCTCGTTTACATTGTGTGCTGCTTGGAGTCATTCAGGGCTGTGCTTTTCATCAGCAGGCTCCCACCCCAATCCTGCGATGTAAGGCAAGGCTTCACATATGCTAGGCGAGTTCTCCACTGTTGAGTTAAGTTTTAAAATGTGGATTTAGTCTGTCATAGTAGAATATTCTTCATCTCCGTTCATGAAAAGGATCACAAAGATGTAATGGTGTGGTGTGTTTACAGCATCTGGGTACAATCTCTTCCCGTCTGTGCTTGCATTCTGTATATCACCTTTGGCTTTCTGTATTTTAAATGCTTAATAGATGTTGGCTGGGCTGGGAAGGTGGCTCAGTGGTAGAGTGCTTGCCTTGCATGCATGAGGCCCTGGGTTTGATTCCTCAGTACCACATAAGCAGAAAAAGCTGGAAGTGGTGCTTTGGCTCAAGTGGTAGAGCACTTGCCTTGAGCTAATGAGCTGAGGGACAGCACCCAGGCCCAGAGTTCAGGCCTCATGACTGACCAAAAAAAAAAAAAAAAAAGTGGGGCACCGGTGGCTCACGCCTGTAATCCTTCTGCTCAGGAGGCTGAGATCTGAGGATCACAGTTTAAAGCCAGCCCAGCCCGGGCAGGAAAGACAATGAGACTTTTATCTCCAGTAAACCACTAGAAAACTTGAAGTGGTGCTGTGGCTCAAGCGGTAGAGCACTCGCCTTGAGCTGAAGAGCTGAGGGACAGCGACTAGGCTCAGAGTTCAAGCCCCATGACCGACCAAAAAAAAAAAAGATGTTGGCTGACTTGAATTGAAGAAATATTGAAAAATATTAAATAAAGTTTGGGGCAGATCTCAAACTTCTTACAGCAGCCTTTGCAGTCACTTGTCGTAATGGAGCCAGTGCAGCCTATGGCCGGCGTCTGCTGGTCTCACCCTAAACACGACTTGGCATCTGAAGTCAAGGTTGGGTGTGCAGGTCCCACACGTGTTCAGAGGATCACTGAAAAGGTATGTGATTTGCAAGAATCTAGAAAGACTAATTGTATTTCCTCCTCTTGGCTTATGTATAACCCTTGCACTCCCTGCAAGGAATCTGTTTCTGGCTATGTGATGTGTGGTTTCTGGTGGGTGATGTAGATTTCCCTCCTTTTCATTGAGGGGATCCGGGACATAGTCACTCATGCCTTGTGCTCCTGCATAGCTCTCCATAGCCCAGGCATTGAGGCAAACACAATTAGTGCAGGGAGGAAGTGCCAAGCTGATATCTACCCAGGTAATGATCGGGTAAAGTAAGACTGCTTGCTGCAAATTGAGGGCAGCAATTCTGTGCTTGCAAGACTTAGATGGCTGTCACTTCCCCTTAAACCATGTCAGGACCCGGTTGAAAATGGACTTTACCATAGAATTGTTGATGGGTGCTGGTGACTCATGCTTGTAGTCCTAGCTACTCAGGATGCTGAGATCTGAGGATCATGGGTCAAAGCCAACCCAGGCAGGAAAGGCTGTGAGGCTCTTAAAAATCTCCACTTAACCATGTAAAAACTGGAAGTAGACCTGTGGCTCAAAATGGCAGAGTGCTCGCCGTGAGCAAACGAGCTCAGGGACAGTACTCAGGCCCTGAGTTCAAGCCCTGCAACCAACCACCCAAAAAAGGAATTGTTTATTTCTTAGGGCACATCGATTGATGTAATTTTTTAGCAAATTGTTCAGCACTGAAAATTTGAAAAAAAATTCATTTATTTGCATAGATCCTTTTAAGATCTCAGTGTTCAGATTCCTTTGAAAAAATTCCCTCTATTCTTTTTCTATTTTGGTACTGGTGCTTGGTCTTGAACTCAAGAACTTCAACGCTCTTAGCTCTTTTTCCCCCTATTTTTCTTTTTTCTTTTTTTTTGGGGGGGGTCTGGTTGTGGGGCCTGAACTCTGGGCCTGGGCGCTGTCCCTTAGCTCTTCAGCTCAAGGCTAGCGCTCTACCACTTGAGCCATAGCGCCACTTCCGGCTTTTTTCTTTTTGCTTTATGTGGTGCTGAAGAATCGAACCCAGGGCCTCATGCATGCAAGGCAAGCGCTCTACCACTGAGCCACCTTCCCAGCCCCTCCCCCATTTTTCTTTTTGTTGGTCGTGGGGCTTGAACTCTGGGCCTAGGCACTGTGCCTTAGCCTTTTTTTTGTGGGGGGGGGGCTCGTCCTGGGGATTGAGCTCAGTGCCTGTCCCTGAGCTGCTTTTGCTCAAGGCTAGCACTCAACCACTTAAGCCACAGCCCCCCTTCTGGCTTTTTCTCTTTATCTGGTACTGAGGAATGGAACCCAGGGCTTCATGCATGCTAGGCGAGCATTCTACCACTAAGCCATATTCCCAGCTCCCCCCCCTCCCCCGCCCCCGGCCTCTTTTGTTCAAGGCTAGCCCTCTACTACTTTGAGCCACAATGCCACTCTTGGTATTCTTGCAGATAATTGGAGATAAGAATCTCACAGACTGGGGCTGGGAAGGTAGCTCAGTGGTAGAGTGCTT